TGTAGTGTACTGTAGTGTATGTAGTGTATGTAGTGTATGTAGTGTATGTAGTGTGGTGTATGTAGTGTAGTGTAGTATAGTGTAGTATTAAATTTGGGCAAAGGAGTAAAGGAACAAAGAGAGATGGTACCAAAATTAATTACACTAGGAAACAAATTAATTCACAGAGCAAGGGAGGGAATGAAAGTAATATTGATGTTTTATAACGCCTCACCAAAGAGGCCAGGGAGAGAAACAGGCTGACAGGAATTGGCTAAGACTCTGCCATTGGCAGGAGCCCTAGTCTCAGGCCCTTCTAGAGCAGTGTCCACATCTACATGTTTCTTATTTGAATGACTAAATAACATGTCTTGGGTAATAAACCTGCTTGATATTGATAGTCAACATTTATTGACTGTTTACTTTGTACAACCTCAAGCACTTTGAACAGTTTAACTATTACTTTCTAATGACATGAAGTAGGCAGAGTTCTCTCTTATTTTATTGAGACATGCAGAGAGACAATGGGAGACATTAACCCCCAATGACCACCTAGCTAATAAGGGATTTGTGTGCACACAAATCTGGAACCTGTCCAGCCATGTGGTGTTCAAGCACCAAGACTTAGCCTGTCACGGTCTGTTAGAAATAAATTATTGTGTCCCTGAGTCCTTGAACTGGGTTAGAGCCTCCAGTTCAGTGATGTCACAGGACCTAGTGTCTCTCTTTACACCTATGTAGTTGTGCACTCACTAAACTGCTTGCTTAATGTCCGTCGCTCTGTCCAGATCATACACTGTGTGAAGGATGGTACCATGTCTGGTTTGTTCGAAACCACATGTTTAGTATAGAATCCAGTACACCACACATAAGAAGTGTTCAATAAACACCATGCTCTGTCTGATTCACCCATATTTCATCAGGAGAACTGTAGGAGAGGGGCTGGGGAGATGGCTCAGTGTTTAAAGTGCCTGCTGCTCGAGCATAACGCTCTGAGTTTGAATCCCCAGCACCCACATAAAAGCCTGGTGCAGCCACTTGCAGGTAACCGCCACAATGTGGGGTTAGAAAAGAGGAATCTCCAAGGCTTGCTGGATGCCAGCCCAGACCCAGGCTCAATGAGAGACTCTGTCTGAAAGGAATAAGGCAGAGAATGATAGAGAATGACCTGACATCCTCCACTGGCCTCTGCAATGTGCACCTACCACACACACACACACATACACACACACACACACACACACTCATACACACACTCATACACTCACACACACACACTTATACACACACCACACACACTCATACACACACCACACACACTCATACACACTCACACACACTCATACACTCACACACACTCACACACTCATACACACACTCATACACACACTCACGCACACTCACACACTCATACACACACCACACACACTTATACACACACTCACACACACTCATACACACACTCACACACACTCATACACACACTCACACACACACACTCACACACTCTCACACACACACACACACACACACACGTGCGCGCACACACACAGTTTCATGGAAATGGCATTCCTGGGTCAAAAATTTAAGAAGCATTTGGGCCAGCAAAATGGTTCCACAGGTAAAGGAGCCTGCAACCAAGTTGGCAACCTAAATTCAATCCCAGAACCCACACAGTGGAAGGAGAGAACCAACTCCTGCAACTCCTGACCATCAGAGAGAGAGAGAGAGAGAGAGAGAGAGAGAGAGAGAGAGGGCACATGTGCTGCACACAAAAATACACACACATACTAAATAAAAATAAAAAATAAAAATTGTAAGGAGGAACATTTTAAGGCTCATACATGCACAATAACCCACAGTCTCACTATATTAAACTGAAAATATTTGCGAGCCATGTGAAATGAGGCTCTGACAGCAGCTGCTGACACAATGGCAGAGTCCTTGTTACTTTGTCACTTGAAAATATTAATATGTCATTAAATAGTATCAATATTGCATGGCTAGGCATTTAGTTAAGTGTGAAACGCTTTGTTTGGTTGAAATCTCTCAACACTTAAGCAGTGACTCCTCCCCCAACCTCCTTCTCAGCTATTTGTGTCTCGTCTTTCCTAGGCTGTTCTCTTTCTTACCCACACCACAGAACTGAACATATTTTATTTATTTTAAGTGCTTGTACCCGAGTGTTGTGCATGTACCAGGTGCAGTACCCAGAAGAGGTCATGAGATCCCCTGAAACCAGAGTTAGAGACGGTTGTGAGCTGCCTGGTGTAAGCACTGGGATCTGAATCGGTGTCCTCTGCAAGAACGGCAAGTGTTTTTAACTGCTGAGCTATCTTTCCACTCCCTGAACAATATGATAGCAAGGCACGTTAAGAGACTTAAGGCCATCTCTGGGGGACCGGACTGACAGTACCTTACATTTTAATAGAATTTCTGAGACCCGTTTTTAGATGGTCTTTGTGGAATAAGCCATACCTGGAAGATTTTCAGTGCTTTTATGAGTCCTCCAACTTCATTCTTCAAGGAAAAGATGAGAGTCACTCTCCCCCTTTCAGAGGAATGGTCTTTGTTCTCCTTGTTGTCTTCAATCATGGTGAATCTGAAGTGTGAAAGCTCAGATAAATGCGTGCTAAGCACAGAGCTAGCCAGCAGGGGGCAGCAGCGATGACTCCATCCACCTCCCGCTCCCATTCCTTTATCTGCTAAACCCACGTGTCAGACAGTCTTTTCCAGATGGTAGTGGACAGAAGGTTAGACACCGTCCAGCATAGTGCCCAGAATGGCAAGAGAACCTGATGTGTCTCTGTGCTTCCCTTTTCTGCTCAGTCTTCCTGAACTTCAGCCCCGAACTGAGACCTCTGTGAAGGTCTACCTCACTGCCCATCGAATTCGGATCATGCATGAGTCGCTTCCCTACGTGCTTCATTCACACAAGTCTTTTACCATAAGACGCTGTAAAGCCCCTTCAGATAGGAGCGAGGCCTCTGTTTCCTTTGTAAACCCAGCTAGAGCTTCAATAGACGAACATGCCAGTGCTCACACGGCTATTAGAGGTGAGGACGAACGTTTACACTGGGTCTTTGACAGTGGACATCTTTCTGCTGTCTTGAACACTTTCAGACTGACCTAAAATCAGGTCCCTGTGCTGACAGCCACATCCCTACAGCACTAGCAATGCTGCCTGCTGATCTGCCTAGCCTCGGTGCATTCCTTCAACAATCCCAAGGCCCATGTTAGAACCCCATTATTTTCTCTGGTATTTCTTTCCTTCTTTAGCCTTCTATTCCCTCTTTGAACCCTCTCTAGCCAGGTAAGATAAAAGGGTCACTGTCACCTTTAAAGGGAAAGAGGTTTACCTTCAAAGGCAGGGGTCACTCTCTAAGGTAGGGGTCACCCTCAAAGGTAGGGGTCACCCTCAAAGGTAGGAGATCACTCTGAAAGGTAAGAAGTCATCCTCAAAGGCAGGGCAGGATCCTCACCTGAATGAAGATGCCCCAGTGTGCAGGATCCAGCACTGGAAATAAGACCTGCTGAGAAGAAGTCCGTCTGATTAGCAGGCAGGGCACAGTGAAGGCTGCCACCGACTCTTTCCTTCCTTGGCTTCACCACCAGTAAGGGAAGCTTCGAAGTCTCATCTGGGAAGCACGGTAAGGCTTTTGAAATTGGGAGCAGAGTTTGAAGGTAGGATTGAAAGCTACAATGAATGGTTTGGAAAGTATCCCTGGGGATACTGATTTTCTTTTCTAAACAGGAAGTAGAGATGAAGTGGAGATGAAATGCAAGCAAAAAAGCTTAAGCAAGCACAGGGGAGATAAAGGAACCCTCCAGAAGGACAAGGCAGACGATACCTCCCTCCAGACGATCAGAAAGATTTAGGGCAGCAGCTACAACACATGGCAATGTGAACTCCAGTAACTGAGTATGTGACCCCAGAACACTCAGTTAAGATCCCACCCTTGAGCCCACTAGTGGTGGCACATGTTTTTAAGCCCAGAACTCAGGATGCAGAGGCAGGTGAATCTCTGTGAGTTTGAGGCCAGCCTGGTCTGCAGAGCTACGGCCAGGGCTCCATGGAGAAGCCCTGTCTTCAAAAAGAAAAAGAATTCCACCCTTGGCATCCCACAAGCACAGACTTCTGGGGGCTTGTATCCTCCACCTCCATTCCAAGATGGCTAGAGTGAAACATCAACCGAGTTCACTTTAAACCTCTGAAAATCAGATAGTTACATTTAATCAGGGTTACGTTTACTTGGAGTGTTAACTAGCTCTGAATCTCAAGGGCCTATGCCTGTGATCGTGACTTAGGACAGAGCTGCAGAGCGCAGATGCGGTGCTGAGAGGTCTAGCATCGAAGACTCCCTTCCTTTGATGGAGCTTAAGGGAAGGTCTCATTATAGAGGAAGAAGAAAAGAGCTATTACCCCTTGGGTGGAAAAAAGAAGACTAATGTTTGTTTCTGCTGACAAGAAGTCATAGAGACACAGGGTTCCCCTATAAAGCCGAAATCCAACGTGGGACAGTCTGCTCCTGGCACACAGGAGGTCCTCAAGAATAGGATCTGCTGTCCCCCAAGAAGCTCTAAGAAACGAAGAGTGGAGCTCTGGAGGTTGGTTCTGTCTGTGCCGGGAGACCTCTGATCCGGGGTCCCGGAGAGGGGCCACCCCACTCACCCACTCACCTCAGAGCTACTGGAGTTCAGAGTGTCACCTGCGGAAGGGAGCTGCCGCCTCTTATAGGAGAAGCGCATCGTCAGAACGGCCAATGGGCGCCGGGCGGGCGCACAGCTAGTGAGGATGGGGCAGTGCGAGTGTGGGCGGCAACAGCGCCGGAGTGGGAGGGAGCGGCTCACGCTGACCTTAGTCGCTGACCCGCAGCCCAGGCGCCCAGCTCTTTCACAGCTATTCTCGTGGAGTTTTAATTAAGTTAATGTTGACTCATCCTCAGCCACAAAAAGTCTGAGTAAGATTAAACAATCCGTTTAGAACTTCCCTCCAAACCATCATCACACCTGCTATTGACACAATGACCTCCCGCCCGCGGGCTTGGACCCAGTCTTTGAGATTAGAAACCAAAGCAGGACTTCCCCTCTCCCTCCCCGTCTCCGGCCTATCCCTGAGTTTCCGGGTTATCCTCCTGAGTAGAGCCTTATCCTTTAGACAGAACAACTACTGGACGTTTAGAAATGCTCACTACTCTTGTGATAAAAAAGAAGAAATGTAGGATGCAAGCAGATAGCGATGCTGTGCCTGCGGAAACGTCACTTTCTCTGCTATACGAACTAGGCACAGAAGCCAAATAGCATTTATCTGTTGGTGATCCGTTATTAGGCGCTCTACTAAAGGGCCAAACCGTGGCTCCTCTTTATCCTGGGAGACTAGTCCTAGGAAGCTTCCAGATGCCTGAGTCTGGGGGATGCTCTGGACTGTTATAAGGAATGTGCCATAGCATGTGTATCTCCTGTAAGGTTTTATCTTTAGATTATTTGCAGTACCCAATGTAATTTAACTGCTATGTAGATATAATAGTGCTGCCTTGACTAACAAGGAAAACACTCTGCACAAGCAACACCCCCAGCCTTTCCATGCAGCCCCTCCTTCAGTGCAGGTTAAGAGTTGAATCAGCAGCTGTGTGAGCCCTGGATGAGGAGGGGTCAGCTGTCTATGTAACATTCTGTATTGTAAGATATTCTTTTCTCAGGTTTTTGAAAACTCAGGTCAAATGATCAATGTGTATAAACTGAATACACTTGCATAGGTTTTCCTTTTATCTATAAAATAATTCTACGAGTTTAAAAATCGTGCTTGCATTGTGGATCAGGAAACTGGGGCCCTTAGCAAGGAGCTCTACAGCCTTCCCCTGCACGGGTTAGTGAGAAGAAAGTGGAGGCATTCTGATGTTAGGTCCAGTGTTCTTGCTCAGTATCATGAAAACAGAGGCCAGAGAGACCTGGGACCAAGCTGAGGTCAATGCTGCCATTCCCAAGCTGGGTGTCTAACTAAGACATGAATGGCTCTCACTTTTTTAATTTATTTTATTTTATTTTATTTTATTTTATTTTATTTTATTTTATTTTTTGGTTTTTTAGAGACAAGGTTTCTCTGTGTAGCCCTGGCGATCCTGGAACTCACTCTGTAGACCAGACTAGCCTTGAACTCTCGAACTCAGAAATCCGCCTGCCTCTGCCTCCCAAGTGCTGGGATTAAAGGTGTGTCCCACCATGGCCCGGCTGGCCCTCACTTTAAAAAAGAGAGAAAGCCAATTCATTTAATGAGCCCTGAGGTGGATGGAAAAGCTGATGTTGGGGCACGCTGGTGGGCTGAGAAAAGCTGGAAACTTCCATGAGCCTCTAGGCATCCACCCCCACACACTTCTCTGCCATGCATCTTTTCGCTTTTCTATTATGTGTATTGTACATACACGTGTGCGTGCATGCGCGCACACAATGATGTACATACAGAGATCAGAAGACAACTTGCAGGAGTCAGTTTCTCTCTTTCCCTCCTGTGGGTTCTGGAAAATGAACTCAAGTCATCAGGCTTGGCAGCAAGTACCATCAGCAGCTAAAGCATCCTGCCAGCTCTCTTAGGTTTCTTAATGCCCTTTACCCTCTCTAAATAGCAACATTGCGTCTGGAAGTCCACCCTGAGGGCTGCCATTGGGCTCAATGGGACACTTTTAAATGAAGACACATGGGAGAAACCTACCATCTGGAGACAGCCTTGCACTGACTTGCCTGTTAGATTTAGGGTCTTACTTCCCACCCTTCCCTACAGAGTACTTGTAAATACGTCATTACAGAGCTATCTATGTGATTGTTTGTTCACTCAACTCTTCCACACAGGAAACAATGGGGTATTTTTTTATGCTAAATCTTCCCTGGCTAGCCCAGTGCCTGGCACAGAGGCATCCAGTTATTTCTCAATAACTCACTGTGAGAGGTTGGCCACAGTGGTGCACATCTGTAATCCCAGAGACCTGGGACACTGAGGCAGGAAAGTCATTTGATTCCAGTAGTTCAAGACCTATCTTGACAACATATCAAGCCCACCATCTCAAAACATTATTAAAATAATAACATTATTATATAATAAAATATATTAACTATATTATATTAGTGTTTAATATTATATATAATACATGGTATATAATATTATTATCATCATCATTAATATTGGCTGGAAAGATGGGCCAGTCAGTAAAGCACTTACTCTGCAAATATGGGGAGCTAAATTCAATTCGTAGAACTCAAGAAAAAGCCAACTGTGGTGGCACATGCTTGACATCCCAGCTCTGGGGAGGGGGAGACGAGAAGATCCCTGGGGCTTGCTAGCCATCCAGCTCAGCTGAACTGGGAGCTCCAAATCACAAAAAGAATGTTTGTTCCAGAAAAACAAGAAGGTGGGCTGAGGAGATGGCTGAGTGGTGCTTGCCACAAGCGTAAGGGCCTGAGTGTGAATCCCCAGAATCCAGGTGAAGCCAGCTTGAGCAGCACATGTCTATAACCACAGTGTTTCTGAAGTAGATGAGAGGCAGAGACCAAAGAATCCCCAAAGCTCATGGGCCAGCGACCCTTGTGTATGGATCCAGCAGCAAACAGCATAGAGAGAGATTCTGTATCAAACAACAGGGGAGGGGTGCATGAGCACCCCAGGTTGTCCTCTGACCTTCACATGTGCTGTGGTATGTGCATTCCTACACACACACACACACACACACACACACACCATACATACCTGTACATTCACACACTTGTACACACATAAATAAACATGTAAAATGAATGCCAAATAACTGATAGAACCTATGTTTAAGTACATGCAGATATGTTAAGCATGACTATGTTTAAGTACATGCAGCTATGTCAAGAATGATGTCTGTAATCTCCGCACAGGGAAGGCAGAAGCAGAATAGTGAATTTGAGGCCAGGTTGGCCTCCACAATGAAACCCTGCCTCAAAAACAAATGCTTTTATCCCAGCATTTTTGAAGAGTGGATTCCAGATTTGGAAGGCCCTCTTGCTTTCTGAAAGTACTATACCACCTTCCGTTCCCCCTCAAAGGGGTCTAGGGCTCTGTCCAACATTACTAGCAGTGGACATTCCCCTGCACTCCTGGACATGTGACCGTCAGAGAGGAGTCACTCACTATTCAGCAGCCTTTGCAATCGCTAGTTAAGCTGAGACCTTAGACGAATGTTCACAAGTGCAGCCTCTTGTGAGCAGGCTGTCTCTCACATTTTAAAAGATATCCAGAGGGGGTCTCACTACAACACTTGGGCAGGCCTTTCAAACTTCCAGACACCTCAAGTCTCAGCCTCCCAAACCTTGAAGAGGCTGTGCCGTCTTAGTGACATACGCATGGGCTCTCAAGGTTATGGACCTTAGCTGCTCCCACCAAAACCTTCCATTTGTCTTTAAATTCACAGAAAGTCTCTTATATCTCACAATTTATTTCTGATGTTTTTTTTTTTTATAGCCAACGGGGGTGACTGATACCAAACGGAAATGAACCAGGTTCACAACAGAAAGCAGAAAAGCACAGGGACAGAGTGGGAAGACTGTGAGGGTGAGGTAGGATTTTAAAGGTTGTTGTTGTTTCCTAAAGGTAGGATAGACTGGAGATGGATCAACCCACTTAGAGAAGAAAGATGGTGGATGAGGAAGACAGGGGAGGGGCCACCTCACCGGCTCTAATAGGTCCAT